GGAAATCTGCCCAGATCCCCTCGACAATGCCGTTCGGGTGTACTTTTGTGCAGTCACCAGTCGGTTTCGCTGAGCGACGTGTGTTTTGCAGGGTCTATTGGTTTGTTGATGGCTTCCACCATGTCTCGAGCGAGCACCAGAATATGGTTAACCCTGAGATCCAGGCGTTGCACTTGTTTCGCACCGTTGCCATATCCTTGATCCCCGTTGCCATCTCCTTGATCGACCCGGTCTAATACATGCCACAAGAAAGTGGGGTCTAGGGTTAAGTCGGGCATGTCCCTCTACAGGAGGAATATTCAAGAATAGTAAGATAATGGTATGGGAGCGATTTTCGTGCTCTTTTGACTACTTTCGAATTTGCTTGAACTATTTTGTTTTTCCTCCAGAGCCCGTCTGTACGAGGACAGGCCCGACCGAAGTTTAGGGCTCTGGCCGTGAATGTTCGCGATTTTGCATTTTTCGCGCAGCGCCAGATCTCAGGGCAAGGCGCGGAGAGGACCCCACGGGGGCGGGCCAGAGCTTCGTGGGCGGCTGCCAGCATGTAGGGGCGCTCCAGAAAGGGCCCCTCCCCAGCATTTAGGGGTGCTTCAGCATTTAGGGGCGGCTTCCAGCGTTTAGGGTTCAGTCTGGCATGTTCCTCCACAGGAGAAATCGTCAACCATAGCCAAAAAATACAATGGAGACGATTGTGTTTGTTATTTTTGGCGACTGAATATGTTACGACTATTCGCTTGTTCTTATTTCAAGATCCGCCTGTAGGAGGACGTGCCCGACCTAAGTTCAGGGGCTCCCAGCACTTAGGGACGTCAGCTCTTTCGATGCCTCACGACGGCGATGGGGCCCTCTCCCGCCTCCCGAGAGGAATCGAAGGAGGTGGGGCGCCCCTTCCTCCGCGGCGGACGTGCGGCGGGTGGGGGGCGGACGCCAACGGAGGCTTGCTGGCAGAAGCTTGGCGAACGCCATACGGTATGCATCCCCACGAGCGGGTGCCGCCGGGCCGAGGTATGAGGTCGAGGTCGGTTTAGGGGAGGGCACCTTCGTGTTCTCCGTGTCTGCTGGATGTTGGGGCTTTGCCTCCCCTCGGCCTCGCCCTGAGGCCCTCGCCCTGAGGCCCCGCCGCTTTCTCCTCCCCTCCCTCCGCCTAACTCAAGCTTCGCGCGGCCCGCTCAGCTCCGACCGGAAGAGGTGCGCTCTCGACCCGCGGATCAACGAAAACGTGTCTGCTGGATGTTCCCGTGCATCCCGGGGAGGGTGCCTTTGGATGTTACGCGTGCTCTAGCCGACGGAGGGCCTCAGGTTCTATCAGGAGGGAAAGAAACACACAGACACAATTAATCCTCGATTCCCCAGAAAAAATAGAGGAAAATATGGGAAGTGGGGGGGAAGACAGAAACCCCGAAAGTAGGAGAAAAGATGGGGAGTTCTTTTATCTGTGTGTACTTCTTTGTGTGTCCCAGGGCCCCTTCCTTCTGTTGCAGGGCAGGGTGCGCTTCTGGCGCAGGTCCGGCCGCATGTTTTGTTTCAGGGTTCCCCGGGGTCGGCCCTGTCGGGGAGGCCGTGGGCGTTTTTGCCCGTGGGGTGCCGCACCGACGCCGCCCCGAGCCGGGGCCCCGGAGGAGGCCCGGGCTCCTGCCGTGCTCCCTGCCGCCTTGGGCAGCGCCACCGTGGAGACCTTTTTTTCCTGCGCGCCGATAGGTTCCATACCCTCCTTTGTCGACGGTTGATCGGGGGCGGAAAAGAGGGGGGTGATGACTACTAGGGGGGGGTGGATATCATGGCGGGGGCCCTGAGATCGCCCCAGATTTCCTGGCGCCTCTTCTTATTTCATTACGTTCCCGGCCCCCCCCCGCTGGGCCGCGCACATGCCGCTGGTCATGATTTGCACCCCCCCCCCTTTTGGACACCCCCCTCTTGGCCACTCTCGAATTGATTTGCCCCAGAAGTGTGTGTTTCGCGTCGGGTCTTCACACGATGCGCAGGGTGCCCTGTAGATCTGCTGGGCATTCTACGCTTTCTGTTTTTTTTCAGGCTTGGGCAAATCAGATCCGGAAACTCACTTTTGGGAACATCCAGGTTCGAAGATCTAGCGGGAAAAAAAAACAGTTTTGGGGCAGCCCAGCTCTGCAGTCGATACCTGCTCGGGTTCTGGCCCCTTCAGGGCCCGCCCCCCTCGGGAGAGCCCCTCCGCCGCGGCCGCAGTCGCCCCGGGGGGCCTGCCGGCCAGAGCGTGCCCCCCGAGAGAGGGGGGGCTATGGGGAGCAGCGGCATCGCTGCCCACCGCCCACCAAGCCGCCACCCCAGCCCAACCCGAAGGCCCCAATTCGCCCTCCACTCCCAGTGTGGGGGGAGGGACATCGGGGGACATGAGCCAAAAACGCATGAAGCCCGCCCCCCCCTTCACCCCGGAAAGTTTGGGTCTTCGGGTTGGGTTGGGGTGATCTGGGAGGTAGCCAGTTCTTCTCAGGGGGGGGAAGTAGACACGAACGCTAAGAAACGTCGATTTCTTCGAACATCTAGGAAGGTGTATGTGTGGAGGGGGAAACAGAGACAGTGTGTCGGGCTTTCGGGCCGCAAGTGTCAGCCACGCGCAGAAGGGGGTGGGGGGAAGGGGGAGGGCTTCTTAGAAGCGTCCCTGCTTCTTAGAAGGCGCTGGCCTTATCTATAGATGTAAGGCCGGCGCCTTCTAAGAAGCAGCCTCCTTCTAAGAAGCCTTCCCCCGCCCTCCACCTCCTCTTGCGCGCCGCCACGCTGGAAGGCGTCCTGGGGCGAGGGGAGACCTCCGTGAGCCGACGGAAACGTCACGACGCGAGGATGCCAGGGTCCCGCAGAGAGGCTTGCCAGCACGAGGCTGGCGAGGGCCCCCAGAGGCGGCCCACAACTGTCCGCCGCGATCTGTCGCTGGAGATCTGGGAGGACGTCAGGGCCTCGCAGGGGCCAGTCTCGGCTGCGAAATCTGAAGCCTTCCCTCGCCGATCAACGACTCAGGCAACTCGATGGGCGGCGGGGGTAGGGTTCGGAAGTCATCGAAAGTCGGCCACGCGCAGAGGGGGGGATCGGGGGGAGGAGGGAAAGCTTCTGAGAAGGCGCGGGCCTTGACTGTAGATGTAGGTCTGGCGCCTTCGAGGAAGCAGCCTCCTTCTGAGAAGCCATCCCTCCTCCCCCAACCTGGCGAATTTTGCACCTCACCCCCGCCTCCCATCGCTTCGGGAGAAAATCGATGGTCGGCGGGAGAATATGGTTCGGATGCCGCCACCTTCGGACGCTGCCAGGACGAGGATAGATCCGTTGCAGAGCTTTCCGGGACGCTCTCAGAGCGTTCCAGAGCGCGCTGGGGAGGCCGCGGCGCCCGAGATATCCTCCAGATTCGTCCGATCACAGAGGCTCTCGATCTATTCTTTCCCGATTTTGGCCTCGTCCTCGCTTCGTGGATTTCTTGGATCCAAGATGGGCCCCCTCGGCGGCACCTCCGGCGCCGCCCCTGGAGCGGGTCCAGCGCAGATCCAAGCAATCCACGCGGAGCGCCAAAAGTGTATGTGAATGCAGTTGTCTCTTCTTCTATCACACCTGCTGTCAGCACGAGGCTGGTGCACCCTCTCGGCTCCGCCTCTTTTTGGCGTCGACCGGCGTCGAGGAGCGTCGGGGAGACGATGCGATATAGCCCGACTTAGCTTCGACGCTGGCGCCGATCCGCGCCGACTTGGCTTGCGCCCGCTGTCAGCACGTGCAGCCTCCTCCTCCTCCTCCTCCTCCTCCTCCTCCTACCTCCTCCTCCTCCTCCTCCTCCTCCTCCTCCTCCTCCTCCTCCTCCTCCTCCTCCTCCTCCTCTCCTCCCTCCTCCTCCTCCTCCTCCTCCTCCTCCTCCTCCTCCTCCTCCTCCTCCTCCTCCTCCTCCTCCGCCTTCCGCCTCCTCGTTTTCCTCCTCCTCCTCCTCCTCCTCCTCCTCCTCCTCCTGTCCTCGTCTCCTCCTCCTCCTCCTCCTCCTCCTCCTCCTCCTCCTCCGCCTCCTCGTCCCTCCTCCTCCTCCTCCTCCTCCTCGTTGTCCTCCTCCTCCTCCGCCTCCTCCTCCTCCTCCTCCTCCTCCGTCTCCTCGTCCTCCTCCTCCTCCTCCTCCTCCTCCTCCTCCTCTCCTCCTCCTCCTCCTCCGCCTCCTCGTTCTCCTCCTCCTCCTCCTCCCTCCTCCTCCTCCTCCTCCTCCTCCTCCTCCTCCTCCTCCCCTCCTCCTCCTCGCCTCCTCCTCCCACCTCCTACCTCCTACCTCCTCCTCCCTCTCTCGACGAGGCTTCTCCCGGCAGCCCGGCCGCCGCCGCCCGGGCCCGGGCGGGGAGCCGCCGCCGGGCGCCGCCCCCGGCGGGGAGCCCGCGGTGCTGCGCGGCGGCGGCGCCGCGGCGGAGGCGGCCGGCGGCGGCGAGGGCTTCCTCGACGACGGCGCGGAGCCCGTGGCGGCGGAGCACGAGGCTCGAGCAGGGTATCGACTGCAGGCAGTGGCGAAGCGTCCTGGCTCGCCGATAGCCCTACCGAACAAGTCACCAGCCTCGAACGTATCCCTGGCCCTAAGACTGACGCGCCAACAGGCGATGACAATCTTAGGGATGCACCCTCAGAAACTGAGGAGATCCCTAAGATCGCCATCGTGATGAGGCGATGCCCAACATAGGGATAGGGATATGTTCCAGGCTGGTGATATAGCCCTACTAAACAATGCTCGAAGAACCTTTTGTGGTTCCCACGAAACGTTATTAGAACATGTCTGGCTGGGACCGTCTCGTTTTGGCACCTCGGGCTTACGTTCTGAGAGCGCTGTTTTTGTTCGTAGAACATGTACGGGTTCTAAGAACATGTCGTGGTATGACTATAGGAGTGCCGGGACGGTCGGTCCCTGCTAAACGACTGCAGAATCGATGCACCCCAAAGTTTTAGGGGGCGGAGAAGGGTACGTAGCACCCCGCCGCCCCCTCACTCTTACCTGCCACCAAGGGGTCCTATGCACCCCTCTCCGTCCCCTAAGACCTTTGGCCACATCGATTCTGTAGTCGATCCTAGGGGAACAAAGAATGGCATTAACATACAAACTCGGAGGTCCGCGCGGATTTCTCGGATCGGCGCTGGGGCCCCCTGGCGGCGCTTCCGGCGCCGCCCCTGGCGCGCTCCGCGCGCCAGGGAGGGGGTTCCAGCGCCTATCCGAGAAGTCCACGAGGAACTCCGAGTTTTTATGTTTATGTCACTGTTTGTTCGCCTGGGATCGACTGCATAATCGATGTGCCCAAAATTTCAGGGTACGGAGAAGGGTATGTAGCATCCCGCGGTTGCGGGCAAGAGTGAGAGGGCGGCGGGGGCGTCGGCAGTCTGCGAGGCTCGGAAGAAGCCCGCCGCAGGCGCCGATTTTTTGTGAAAGCAATGTGGGTGGGTCGCGGGCTGGGTCGCGGGTGGGTTGCGGGTGGGTCGCGGGTAGGTCGCGGGTGGGCGGGCCGCGGGGTTGGTCGCGGGCGGGGTCGCGGGCGGGGTCGTAGGAGGGTCGCGGGTGGGTCGCGGGCCGAGTCGCGGGGGGGGGACGACGACAACAAACAACAGCAAGCAAACAACAATAACAATCCGCACCGCAGAACCTCACTTCAGTCACGCGCCCAGGGACAGTGGATGACCGTTCGGCTCTCTCACTCGGATAGAAATAAACTGTTCCGACGTCGGAGACACCTGTCCCCCGGGCGGCTTCAAAGTTTATACCCCTACGTGGCACCGCAGGGGTACGAACTTTCAGCCGCCCAGGGGGCAGGCGCGCGCCCCCGACGGCGGAAAAGCTCATCATATCCTGCTCCGCCTGCTAAACATTGGGTGGTCCGTCGAATCTGCGGAACGTGCGTCGAATGCTCCATAACGCTATGGGGCATTCTATGTGTATGTTGCTTGGTGCAGTCGCGGAAAAATCAGTTCTGGTGGGCATCGACTCTGCAGTCGAGGCTCCTCGCTCGAGAGAGGCGGTGCGCACCCACGCCCACCTGTGACGCCCCGGCGGCGCTCCCCTTTTCCCTCTCTCCCTCTCTCTCGCACGAGGGGGGAAACACACAGACAGACACGCGCACACACACACACTTACACACACACACACACACGCACACGCACACGCACACGCACACGCACACGCACACGCACACGCACACGCACACGCACACGCACACGCACACGCACACGCACACGCACACGCACACGCACACGCACACGCACACGCACACGCACACGCACACGCACACGCACACGCACACGCACACGCACACGCACACGCACACGCACACGCACACGCACACGCACACGCACACACACACACACACGCGCGCGCACACACATAAACACACACACACGCACACACACATACACACACACGCACACACGCACACACATACACACACACACGCACACACACACACACACGCAGACACGCACACGCAAACATATACGCACACATACACACAGACACAAAGACAAACGTCGATCCTCAGGAACAGGCGGGAAACATTGACAGAGGAAGACGAGCACCCAGAAGATGTGAAAAATTATGGGTGAATCCTGGGATGTGTGTCTATTTAGTTGTGTCGGCGGTTCAAGGATTGGGTCCTGAGGGATGGTGTCCTCAGGATAGGAGGGGACCCAAGGTTGAATTTACATTGTTTAATGCGCCTTCTCCCCAGGACCCGATCCCTCAGGACCCCATCTTCGAACCACCGATTGTGTGTCCCTGGACCCCGTTTCTTGATGCCTCCCAGATGCGCGACGGAAGAAAGCGGGGTCGCCTGTGTCGACATTCGCGCGCAAGCTGCCTGCGTAAGGTCTCGCGTAAGCGCCCTCGTTTACGATGTATGTCGCGCTGGTGGCCCCCGTAAACCACCGCGATGCATCGGCGATGTGGCTCGATGTAGTGCCCGATTTCCTCCGCGCCGATGGTGCCGATGCATCGCCGACGTCGCCGATGCACCGCCGATGCATCGGCGATGTATCGCTGATGCATCAGCGATGTGGCGCGATCTGCGGACCCCATCGACTCGGACTCCATCAGGGAGGCCTCTACCCATCGGTCGTTGAAAGTAGGTATTTTTGTACTCCCAGGTCCCAATCTACTCTAGCCGCCGTCCTGCTTCCAGAGTCGGGTGGTTTTCCCTTTTCCCTCTTCTGTATGGGGCGGGCGCTTTGTGGGCCCCAGAAACGGTAGGGCCGTTTTTTCACTGTTTCTCAAAAATGTCCCTTGAAACTGGAAGCGGCAAAAAGAGCGACCGGAAACGGCAACAAAAACGGCTCCAGGATTGGAGCCTGAGCCGGAAACGGTCAAACAACAGCGACGGAACCGGTAACAAAAACGGCGTCGGAAGCGGCAACAAAAACGGCAAAACGGAACCGGTAACAAAAACGGCCCTGCCGTTTCCAGGGCCCACTGAGGGCGGGCGGACACCGATCTGCTCTTGACGCCTTCCTCCTTCATGTTCCTACTTCATGTTTGACGCCTTCCTACTTCATGTTTGACGCCTTCTGCTTCATGTTTGACGCCTTTCTACTCTTGACGTCTTCCTACTTCCTACTTCATGTTTGACGCCTTCCTACTTTTGGTTCGCCTTCCTACCTCATGTCTGACGCCTTCCTGCTTCCTTCTCTTGACGCCTCCCTGCTTCGTGTTTCTGCCTGCTGCTTCCGACCGGCGGGTGTGCTCTCTCCGTCTGCCGTTTTCTCCTCCCCCAGACCTCTTCGCGTCGCAGTAGGCTTATGTCGGGCGTGTCCCCCTACAGGGGAATTTTCAACGAAAAAGAATAAATACCCCCAAAATGCCCCAAGGAGGTCAAAAAATAGCCAAGAAATAGTCCCCAGGCTATGTTTGGACGATTTTTTGATTATTTTTTGGGTATTTTTTATTTTTCGTCGGGCCCCCCCATCTTGGGGCAATATTTGAGCCCTCTTGGGCCGTCTTGGCCCCCTCTTGGGGCCGTCTTTGAACCCTCTTGGGCCGTCTCGGGCGTCTCTTAAGCCGTTTTGGAGCCATCTTGGGCCGTGTTGGGGCCCTCTTGGGCGCCGTCTTGTGGCCCTTTTGGGGCGATCTTTGACCACCTAAGGTACAGATTTGTGGGTTTCCCCTTAGTGGTCTTTTCCAGAGGGGGACAGGCCCGACCTAACAGCAGGCCCACGACGGCACGTCCTCGGCCGCGCTCGGCCCCGCGGGGCCCTCTCGGCGGGCCCCCGGGAGGCCGTCCGCACAAACCAGGTCGCGAGGACAGGCCGGCCCCGGGGCAACGGCCGAGGCCTCCTCCTGGGGACATCGGGGCCTCTCTCCCTCGCTCTTGTGCTCGCCCTCCCTCCCTCCCTCCCTCCTCTCCCTCTCTTCTTCTCCTCCTCCTCCTCCTCCTCCTCCTCCTCCTCCTCCTCCTCCTCCTCCTCCTCCTCCTCCTCACCTCCTCCTCCTCCTCCTCCTCCTCCCTCCTCTCTCCTCTCTCCTCCCTCTCCTCCTCCCTCCTCTTCCTCTCTCTCCTCCTCTCTCCCTCTCCCTCCCTCCCTCCCTCCTCTCCCTCCCCCAAAAGGTCCGGGCGTCGCAAGCTTGTCACCAGTCGCTCTCACCCTGTTTGGGGCCCTGGGACCCGCACAGCTCGACCCGGAATGCTGCGGAGATTGTGGGTCTAGAGCTCCTTTCGCGAGTTTCTCGCGATGTTGCGGGCAATGTCTTTATCCACATCCAGTGCGTCTTGGAGTTTCGGGCACTCTTCCCAAGGAACATGAGGCGCACTGGATATGGATTATAATCTGCCTCCAACAGGCTCAATTTCTATCCATATCCAGTGCGCCTCGGCCTTGCGGCGCCCCTTCCAAGAGAGTCCAAGACGCACTGGACATGGATATAAGTATTGCCCGCAGATGTTGCGCTTGTTCGCAACGTCAGATCTCAGTGCTCCTCCCTCCCTCGCTCTCTCTCTCTCTCTCTTTCCCTCTCTCTTCCTCCCTCTCTCTCTCTCTCTTTCTCTTCATCTCTTTCTCTTCATGCTTTTCTTTCTCGGTTTGTCTCTCTCTCTCTCTCTCTCCTTCTATCTCTCTTTTCCTCTTCACCATCTCTCTTTCTCCACGACTCAGATACAGGTGAGCGACACAGAACAATCGGCGCGACCGTGCCTGCAATCGCGCGCACGCTGCCCGCGCAAGATCGCGCACTGGCGCCCTCGCTTTCAGTGCGGCGTGCCGCGCTGGTGGCCCGCGTCAAAGCTCACGCACAAGGCCGCTAATGATGCCATCTCCGGCAAAACCCGTTTCTTTTCGTCGCTCCTGTGCTCCCCTCCTTGCCGCAATGGCGATACAAGTTCGCGGCGGTGTTGCACAGCACCAGCTTCGCGATATACGATCGGCGCCGCCGCGTTTTCTGCGCCGCGCCGAGCGGCTGGCTATTCTTGGGGCCGAACTCAGCAAGATTACTACGCCCAACCCGCTCACCACAGGGCAAGGAAGACATGAGCCACTAGGCTTCAATGCCCACCAGGGCCTGACTTCTTCGACTATCTGACGGTCCGAGGAGCCTGTTCGACGACTTTGAAGGCGAAAACCAGGGCCTGGTCGGGCTCGGAGCGTCGTTGAAAGACGACGATGGAAACAACGCTACTCCACCAGGACGTCGCATTGGTCACGGGCATGACGCGGACGACGAAAGCACGGCTTCGTGCGAGCCCATACTCTCATATGGTTTGGCTCATGCGGCGGACGTCCACCAGGACCCGGCCCCTCCAGCCAATCTACCCGGCTACCAGGCTGTGTCCCCCTCCCACCAGGCCGTGCGGAAAGCGGACCGCCAACAGCCCGAGGCGGACTTGGCTTCGGCCGAACGGTGACGCAGCGAACGGACCGAAGGCTATCCTTCGCGCAGCGCCTCGAGGCTGCCAGGCATCAGCGTGGGCGGGACCGCGGAGCGGCCCTCAGCGCTGGGTTCGCGTCGCCGCGGCAGCGGGCCAACCACCTGGCTCAAACCATTCCAGCCGTCCAAAGATAGTCAGGGGACGATTTGTTTGGCAATTTCTGGCCATTTGGGGCTTGTTTGGGTCCAGAGTCGTCCAGAGTCCCCCATGTGGGGTCGAGGAGCCGTCTGCTCCTCTAGCAGACAGATTCCACCGAGCGCAGTCCGCCTGGAATGGCCTGGCCTCCACCCGGCCCTCCGCCCCAACGCCTACTCCAGATCTCGTAATAAAAGGGAGGGGGGCTGGACCCTCCAAGACAAGCCGTTTCAGACCCCCCCCCCCGTGGGAGAACCCTCCAAGACACCGTCCCCAGACCCCCCCCGGGCCCTCCAAGATAGCCTGGAAGAGACCCCCCCCCGAAATGAGACCCCCCTCCCTTTTATGACGAAATCTGGAGTACCCTGGGAGGGGAAGCGAGAGCGCCCGCTGGCACATCGACCGACACGGACGCGCCGCACGGGTCGGGCGACGGGCCCCCCCCCCCCATCGTCTGCGGGCCACGGCCTTTTCCCAGACTGCGAGGCGCTTCGAGGGACAACGCGGGGGGCGGCCGGCCCGAAATGAGACCCCCCCCGCCCTTTATTTAATCGCTTCGCTCATGCCGCCGGCCCTGAAGCCCTCTTTAGGGCCTCTTGGGGGCCTCTTGGGGACCTCTTGGGAGTCTCTTGGGGCTCCTTGGCGGCGTTTTGGAGGCCCCCAGGGCCTCTTGGGGGGCTCTTCCGCACTTTATTTGCGAAATCCGGAGTAACGCTTCTCCCGAGGCTCGCCCCGAAGAAGCAGCCAGGCGCGCCTTGGTGCCCACGGCTCGGCACGCCGGCGCTCGCGGCCTCCCTCCCGGTCCCTGCTGCGAGAAGGAGTGGCAGCTGCCTCGCAGCTTTCCGTCGAGCGCGTCCCGATGCAGGAGGAATATGCGAAAATAGTTCAACACTCCTCTTCCCCCTCCCCCTCCTCCTCCTCCTCCTCCTCCTCCTCCTCCTCCTCCTCCTCCTCCTCCTCCTCCCTCCTCCTCCTCCTCAGGCGCGCCTTGGTGCCCACAGTTCGGCACGGCAGTGCTCGCGTCCTCCCTCCCGGTCCCTGCTGCGGGAGGGAGCGGCAGCTGCCTCGTGGCTTTCCGTCGAGCGCGCCCCTATGCAGGAGGAATGCCCATCGGTCGTTGAAAGTGGATATTTCTGGATTCCCAGATTCCAATCTACTTTCAGCGCCTTCCTACTTCAAGAGTCGAGTGGTTTTCCCTCTTCCCTCCTCTTCAGGAGGAGGGCGGAAACCCAATCTATTTCCAACGCCTTCCTACTTCATGTTTCTACCTACTTCTTCCGACCGATGGGTATGCAAAAATAGTTCAACATTCGTTTGGGGACGACGTCCGACTATTTCGGACTATGTTTCGGTATGTTCGACTATGTTCTATTCCTTCGTCCAAAATCCGCATGCAGGAGGGCATGTCCGACCCAATCGTAGCTGTCAAACTCGGCCTCCTCGGAGGATGCCCCGAGGCAGCGCCGCGGCTCACCGAGGCACTGAGGCGCGCGCGTGCGCCAAGGCGCACCGGCAGCCAGAGCGCTTTTGCTGTTCGCGTGCGCAGGCGGGCCTTCGAGTGGCCTATTCCCCACATACCCGCTTTGCGTTCCAGTCGGGGTCCTTGTCGGCGGCGGGCGCGGGGGGGAAATGAGAAGGGGCGGGACTTCCGAGGCTTCTGAGAAGTTTCCGGACTTCTGAGAGGGCTTCTGAGAAGTCCAGCCTGCATTCGAAACAGGCTAACAGGAGACCTCTCAGAAGTCCCCCGGACTTCTGAGAAGTCCCGCGGCCTTCTGAGAAGGCCTGCTCCTTCTCATTTCCCCCCTGGGCCCGCCGCCGACCTTGTCGACCGCACCAGGGGGGGAGAGGGTAGCACCCCACCCCTGCTGCTGTTGCGGCGCCCGCCTCCTAGTGAGGCAGGGCTTATTCACCACATACCCGTTTTGCGTTCCAGTCGGGGTCCTTGTCGACCGCACCAGGGGGGGAGAGGGTAGCACCCCCCCCCTGCTGCCGCTGCGGCGCCCGCCTCCTATAGTGAGGCAGGCCCACGCCGCCCCCAATGCGCGCGGCTGGGCCTGGACCGGACCTGGGCCGAACGGACGCGCTCTCTCCCTCTGTCTCCCTCTCCCCCTTTCTGCCTCGCTCACTCCGTCTCTCTCCCTCCCTCTCTTTCTTTCTCTCTCTCTCTCTCTCTCTCTGTTCTCTCTCGTTAGTTCTGTCTCTCTGTCCCTCTCTCTCTCACACATACTCTCTCTCTTTCTTTCTTTTTTTTTTGTTTCTCTCTCTCTCTCTCTGTCTCTCTCTCTCTCTCTTTCTCTCTCTCTCTCTTTCTTTTTTCTATATCTATAGTTATCATCCTCTCTCTCTCTCTCTTTCGTCGAGGGTCCCAAGGCGCAGCGGTGACCACACCATCGGGTGAGTCATTCGAGGTTTGGTGAGGGCGTGTGGTTTTGGGACCCGGGTGTTTCACCGAGGACGTGTCCGGCGACTGGGGCCTCCAAGCTCCCAGAACAGTGCGTT